CTGGAACCAAAAGATGGCCTGCATTGCAATGCAGCGATTACAGCATGCTTGCAAGATTACAACGGAGACCAGTTTATGTGCCCATCCAAGGCAAAGTCACCATGTGAATGGGTTGCTGCCTTAGTATGACGTGGTCATGCATGGAGGTATCAGAAGCTTGCAGAGTCTTTTTGTCAGTCTGTTTGTAAAGATTTGCAGGTGGCCTTTGGTGGAGGGACTGCGGCAGGTAAATGCCATGCGAGCATTGCAGCCACAAGCAACTTCCAGGCGAGGAGCAACTTAGGAGGGAATGGCGCACTCCTTGCTGCGCACTCGACTAGTGCGCTGTTGATCATGCCTTGTTTCATCAAGCAAAACCGCCCGTTTTGGATTGTGTTGCAGCAGGATGGCCGCAGTAGACCTTGTGCTCTGCTACTGCGGCAGGCGGCAGTGCCTTGCAAGTAACATGTCCTGGTCAAAACACTCCTTTGGGTTGAGTAGGGATTGTCATCGACGCTTTTATTTGTAGCGGGATAAGCAAAACTCTCTATCATGTTATTCTACACCATATTTTGTTGGCAAGGGTTCCTTTCAACGAAACATGGAAACATGACCCAAGGAGCTTGGATCAGGGCATTGATTGGCATCCATCACACGGATGAACGCAGGGACGAGCGCATTGATTGGCTCCGCGGCTTTCACAAATTGCCATGGCGGCAGGAGGACAGAGGACAAAGCAATGATTTGGTGCATAGTGACAACCAATGGCGAGGATCGCCTGAAATCAACGAGGTCGTCTGTGTCCTTGAGGAGCCAGTTTAGATCGTGATGTGACATCTCAGAGAGCTAGCACGTAGGATCTACCACAAATGCGGTTCTGCATTTGAGGAGGAGCGTGATGAGACTTGGTTTGGACTGGCGATTTGAAGATTTGTTTTTCTTTTATGTCAGTGCTGCCTTGCTTCTTCTATGCTTTTGCCCTGGCTTTGGCTTGTTACATGTAAAGCTTCCTAGTCCATCCAGACCTCTGCCCCTCGGCTCCGAGCACCTGAACCCCCCACCCCGAACCCCCGCGTAGCCCATGATAAGCCAAAGCCAAATTGAACCTCAAACTTATCTTCAGTGTCCTCCCTGTCAATCCGGAATTCAACCCCAATCCCACAAAGTTGTCCAGTTTGACCTTTTCCCCGAAACAACTCCGACTCATTGCTGACAAAGAGGAGAAGAGCAGATAATTCAAGTGTCAAAAGGCAATGGACTATCAGACTGAACACATGGGGGGCAACCTTTTTGCTTTAGTTTACTCGCAAATAAAAGTGGACCGACACGATTTTCCCTTTTGCAGCCAGCAAGGAAGAGCGCCAGCGTTTGATTGCAGAGTGGTCAAACCTGTTCCGCACTGTGGAGGCTGGGGCTGCGCCTTCGCCTTGTCAAAGAACTCTTGAGCGCCAGGTGCGTTATTTTGATGACAAAGTGCGGGCAGACGATTGTTCTGCATACTTGGCTTATATTGTGGACGCGGGCTTAGCCTTCGAGTTGCTTGGTGCAGGAGTTACAGTTCGGCGTCCGAGTCGGTGAGCTAAGGACAACTACGATGACTTGCCGGACTTTGCTGTTTTTCTGCATGCGGATGCTCCTGAGGCAGGCTGTCGGATCCAGCTTTGGACAAACGAACAAGCGGGGATACGGAGGGAGCGGGGATATGGGGGGATTCCCTTGGCGCCATGTCCCATATTGGTTTAGCTCTTCTTGACTTCACTGCCCTGCAGCACATTCCGACGGTGGACCTACTCATGGACACAGTGTTCGCAGCTTCAAGGCGCGGCATGTGGCTGTGGGTCAAAACCAATGGTACCACTTTGGGGTAGGTGAATTCACCACCCATTTTAGTCGAGATTTTAGTGGGAATTGGGATGTTCACTGGGGGTACGATTTGGATTTTGACCCATGGCCATGTAACAATTGTGACGCTGCGCAGTGAGTGTCATGTTCACGAAGCCTCGCAGGGGCTACCTGCCCGAGGATGTGGGGTTTATCCACTTGGCACATAACTATGTCCGACATGACTGTCCAGGCAGTGCCTGGCTGGCGATGTTTGCCCTTGTGACACAAGATCGGCAAGCGCCATACAGGAAGCACTGAACGATGCCAAACGCCAGATGCTTTTGAAGTAGCTCAGCTTTGGAGGACCCTGACTCACTTGGCCATGGGTCAAAATCCAAATCGTACCCCCAGTGAACATCCCAATCCCCGCTAAAATAGGTTCTAAAATGGGTGGTGCACCTACCCCGAAATGGGATCCCATTATTGGTTTTGACCCACAGCCACTCGTGCATTTGCCTGAGGGATGCCGTGCGTTTCCCATCGCAGGAAAGTCTTTGAGTCGTCGGTTACTCCGGTGATGTCGCAGGCAGGAGCCGTGCTCGCAAATTTTTGGGGCTCCCCAAAGGTCTTGAGCTGCTGAGAAATGGCTGTGGTTGTCAGGAATGCGGCAACCCCAAAATGGCTTGCCCTGATAAATGGAACCAAAGACTAAAACCAGCGGTCCGATTCCTGGTGGGTTTATTTTGACCCATACCGACCCAAATATTGACTCCACGTGTAGCCAGGCGGGCATGGACCTTGCTCATTGCTTGCAAGATTCGTGAGAGCAATCAGAACATGCATATGGCCATGGGTCAAAATCCCGTACCCCAGTGAACATCCCAATCCCCACTAAAATCTCGACTAAAATGGGTGGTGAATTTAATTCACCTTCCCCAACATGGGATCCCATTGCTTTTGACCCACAGGCATATTGCAGATTGAGTTGCAGGACATCCCAGATTTCAATATGGGTGTGGGTCAAAAATAAAACTACCAGGGGACCGCAGGTTGTAGTCCACGATTCCACTTACCAGGGTTCCAGTTTGGGTACCTATTTTTGACCCACATTTCAATCTAGAGGCACTGCTTGCTTCTGCTAGGGCGACCTGAACGGCTACTGCTGCGCGGGGGGCCTTGGTGGTGGTAAAACCAGCGACGATCGACTGCCATCACTGCAGGTCCAATTTCTGGTGCGACGCGAGCGCATACAGCTGCGTAGCAAAGAGTTCTACGTTGGCGCCCTGGATTTCTATGAGAGTGCTGCTTGATTTTCGCCGGCCGAGGTGCGCGCGCTGGCATTCTTTGGAGCACTCAGCTTGGTGTTTACCGCAAGTCTTGTGTGCTTGCCTCAAACCAAGGAAACTGCCGCATCGTATCACGCGCTGTTCCCTGTGGGCAAGGCAGGCGAAGCTCTTGTATCTTGTTCGCAGTAATCCCATGCAGATTGGATTCACAGCGTGCAGGTGGTGTGGACTCCTGATACTCGTGGTCGTACTCCGTGCCAGCTGACCATGTGACCTTGGGTTGTTTGTGTGCACGTGCCAGCGTCCGTGCGTGCGTTTGTGCTTGCTTTGTGTGCGCGCGTGTGTGTGTGTGACCTATGAACAAGCACATGGTTGTCTCTGTGTGTGTGTGTGTGTGTCTGTGTCTGTGTCTGTCTCTGTCTCTGTGTCTGTGTCTGTGTCTGTGTCTGTGTCTGTGTCTGTGTCTGTGTCTGTGTGTGTGCCTGTGTGTGTGTGTGTGCATGTGTGTGTGTGTGTGGGTGTGTGTGTGTGTGTGTGCATGTGTGTGTGTGTGTGCGCATGATGTGCGTGTGTGTGTGTGTGGGTGGGTGTGCGTGTGCGTGTGCGTGTGCGTGTGCGTTTGCGTGTGCGTGTGCGTGTGCGTGTGCGCGTGCGCGCGTGTGCGCGTGTGCGCGTGTGCGCGGGTGCGCGGGTGCGCGGGTGCGCGGGTGTGCGGGTGTGCGGGTGTGCGGGTGTGCGGGTGTGCGGGTGTGCGGGTGTGGGGGTGTGCGGGTGTGCGGGTGTGCGGGTGTGCGGGTGTGCGGGTGTGCGTGTGTGTGTGCGTGTGTGTGTGTGTGTGTGTGTGTGTGTGTGTGTGTGTGTGTGTGTGTGTGTGTGTGTGTGTGTGTGTGTGTGTGTGTGTGTGTGTGTGTGTGTGTGTGTGTGTGTGTGTGTGTGTGTGTGTGTGTGAGTGTGTGTGTGTGTGTGTGTGTGTGTGTGTGTGTGTGTGTGTGTGTGTGTGTGTGTGTGTGTGTGTGTGTGTGTGGGTGGGTGGGTGGGTGGATGCGTGCCTGCGTGCGTGCGTGCGTGCGTGCGTGCGTGCGTGAGTGCGTGCGTGCGTGGGTGGGTGGGTGTGTGTGTGTGTGTGTGTGTGTGTGTGTGTGTGCGCGTGCGCATTTGTGTGTGGCGTGGCGCTAGCTCATTGCTCGAAAGATTGCGGCGCGGATACAGCCCGCATGGCCAGATCAGGTACTTTTGGCACGTCATGTTTGGCGAAGAGATGTGGCTTCCGCGCCGGCACAGAGATCAACGTCTGCAGCTGTCTGAGACTGCTTTGTCGGAAGGATGATGTCCGCCATGTTTGCCACAATCATGCAGCAAGGAAGCATCCAGATGAATAATGGATTTGCGGCAAACGCAAGCTGATTGGCCAGTTGCAGTGTTTTGACTGGGTTAGCCATGCCAATTCAGGCCTTTGTTCATTCGCATGCTGAACATCGAGGCAAGATCGGCATTTCGGACGCAATGTGGCATCATGTACGCGTTGCAGGCAGAGGCTGTTGTGGAAGCCCAACGTGGAGAAGATGGTCTCTCCGGGCGTGCCATTCAATTCACAGGCGTGGACATATGTTTGCTCAACTTTGTGCGATGAGAACCTGTGTGCTGTCTTTCTGCGAGATATTGTGACTCTGCAATCAACAAGGCGATAACACTGGTGCCGATGACGCGTGCCCCTGCCTGCTAAGCAAAGTGTGGCATTCAGCGCATGTGCCGTTTGGTCCGGAATTTTGCAAGGTACTATCGTTTGCAGAGCTTGTTCGTTCCATCTCCAAGTTGAAAAAATGGATCGCGCGCAGAGCTGGATTGCTGATATTGTTGCTTTGGAGCTGCGCACACAAGGAACATGCACAGTTGGCCAGCTGAATCGTTCAGGCAAGGGCGCCTGCCACACTGAGACAGATGTCGGACCGCATTGGGGAGTCCTGCTGGCACAGTTAGCTTCACGGAATTCCAAGCGGAGGGATTTTGGCAATCGCAGGTTGCCACTTGCCAAAAAGCCCTTTCTCCGTGTGGGTGTGGGTCAAAATAGGTGTCCAATCTGGAACCCTGGTAAATGGAAACATGGACTATAACCTGTGGTTCTGTGGTGATTAGAAATTTGACCCATACCCGTATGTGAGCTACATGGAAGGTTTGCTAGAACCACAGTATCCCCTTGCTCAACTCCCTCCCTTGCCAACAGCGCACCCCTTTGCCGCCCTGTGTCTCATGGATCCCACATGTGCACTTTGCCTTGGCATGTCAGGCAATGTCTTCATGCTGCCAAGGCCGCATTGAAGGCAAGCTGTGTCTGTGTGTGAATGGCGTTTTTCGCCGAGATCTCCGTTGCCAGGACAACATGAAGCCTTGGGACAAGCCCAAGGTCGCGAGTCTATTTGTGTGCCTCAGATGGCTTGTGGCCTCTTTTCACAGGCCAGATTTGCAGCAACCTTGCCTGGAGCTCCCAGCAGTATGCAGACCAGTCGGCGCCTTTGAACTCAGCCGAATCTGACACCCGCATGAGTGTCAGGTCATGTGAACAATGCGCCCATCAAAGTCTGGAGCCAAGAATGGCAGTTCGACAGGATGCCCTTTTGCATTGTGAAGTTGATTTGCCTGATGTTGATGTCACGTGTGATCAAACCACATAGACTCATGTGGTATCCATGGAGGTTGCCTCAACCAAGAGCCTTTCTTCACATGAGGCTGGTAAATGAGCTTTCGCTTCATTGAATAGCTTCCTCTGTTCAGGTGCCCAAGAGGACGCGCTGGGACTTGTTGCAAAGCAAAGCTTTCTTGGTCCACGCTTGTGAGCCCCTGCGATGAGATCACCTGTCGGTCCACAGAGAGAGTGGGCGAGAGTGGCAGAATTGGCCTTCAAGAGACATTGCATCATGCTCCGGTGGTTGTCAAGCCTCCAAAAAGGCGCCTGCCAGGTCTTAAATGAAGGTCAGCAAGGGACAAACCCAGCCATAAATAGGTGCGTCCGCCTTTTGACTTCTTTCATTGGTTTGGGTATACCAGGTTTTGATGATGACTCAGGTCTTAGAAGGGGCCTCTTGCTTGGATGGGCCTGAATTCAATTGTCAGCCCCCAAACGCTTCGAGCGCTCCATCCCTCAGGAGCCTGCCCAAAAAGATGGATGATCTGGACAAGCAGGCAAGCATCGGCACGTGATAGTGCGTAGTAACCATCCTGAGTCCGTTTGTGTCAAGCAGGTGCGAAGGCTGTGTGCGTGTCTTTGTTTGATGATTTTCATGGTTCCAAATTCACAAACATTTCGGCACCTGTGTAGCCCACAAAAGAGTTTAGCAAGACTTCCCTCGTGTTTTTCCACCAGGAAGCGATGTTCTGCAAAGACATGCGCCGCTTGACCCTTACGGCCAGAGCCTGTGCAAAGGACAGGGCGATAGAGAGACCTTCACGTTTTGACTGCGCCAACTTGGGGGGTTGATCAACAGGTCGGATGAACATAGGATGACCATTAATCCCCCGCAGGAAAAGTTACACAGGGTCACAGGAAAAGTTTCCCCAGAGTCACTTTGGGGCGCACGGAATATTGATCAACCCCCACTTCTGATTTCAGACAGGATGCCATGCGTGAGCTCTTCAGCCTGCGAAGCCAAGCGGATCACTTGCGGGCGCAGCTGAAGAACATGGCAAGCGGATCGTTGGTGCCTCAAAACCACTCCGATCAAGATGTCGCCATGATAACTACAGAGACGCTGTGATAGTGCTTCTTGCCAAGGCCGAAGGCAGATCTCAGCTGCTCAGCACAATTTCCCAGCAAGCAGTTGCACAAGAACTTCCTTATACTCTGCCATCCACGCAATGCATTGCGCAAGCAAGATTACTGTGTGAGGACCCCTTGCTTGCATGCTAAGCTGGTTGGGCTTTGATGAGTTGTGCTCTCTGGTGAGGTCTTTGTGAGTGCAGGCACACGTCTCCGTGTTTTGTTTTGCATTTGCAAGTTCAAGGCTTACTCCCCAACCATACCCTGTGTCAGCAGAAGGAGTACATCTCTGGATGTACCCGCCTGCTTGCCTGCCTGCCTGCCGTCCCATTTGACTGTCCGTCTGATTGCGTGCGACTCTGTGGCTGGCGTGGCTGCGTTTGCCCGTATTCGCAGGTATTTGCTTTGCGTTTGCTCGCGCTTGGATTTGGTTGGGTATGAATGCCAGGAACGCAGTCCTCTCCGTATCGCAATCCAATTATACTGGGAGTTGCTTTTTGCGCTTGGCTTGTTTGTTCAAGCAGCGTCTCTGCGTGTGTGCATTAGTGGCATTTTACCTGTCATGCAGCTTGGGGTTCGACACATGTCTCACGAGAGTCGCTTGATCACTGCTGCGCCCCCTCAGGCCAAAGTGCGCCGCAGGCAAGATCATGCATGTCACCGTTTTTTTGTTGGAGACATCAACTCGTGACATTGTGTCAGACAGCGTGATTGCATTTGGTTCACCAAGCAAAGTCAAATAGCTGCAGACAATGACTTTCAGCTGCAGGACTTCCGCCGAACACGCCACGGGTCGGGCCTGTCAGTTTCTGTAAGCCTCGCTAGATGACGGACCTTGTTTGACTGGGTGGACATTCAGAATTTGACATCAGGAGGCCGTAAGGATGCCAATGGCTTGCATCAACCTGTTCGAAGATCAAGCTTGCCGAGGTTGCCAAGATCTCCAAGATCTCCTCGTGTGATGACCGCACGGTAGGGTTTTGAGCGTGCAAATGTGCTGTGTTGCCACTGCCAAGTAGATTGGTGACGTTGTCCGCTATTAGCCATATTTTTGGGTGCCGGGACGGCAAAGATTGCCGTTGAGATCGCACTGGTAGTCGATGCAGATTCACAGCTTCGCAAAGCGAAGCAGCTGTTTGCTTCGACTCATTCCCATGATAGGCCTAAGTCAAAAACACCACATAATGGCCATGGGCGCTTGCTGTGTTCGTCGTTTTGGCAGCTTTGTTTGTCCTGCACAACTCTGCACGCTTTTTCCGTGACCCGCGAAACACCAGGCTCCAAAATTTGAAATGATTGCACAACCTCGTTGCAGTCTTCGACTCTCAAGGGCTAGCGCGTGCTTGACCAGAAGTTCAGCCCAACTGTCGAAGGGTTTCGGAGGGTGCCACATGGCCTTGCGTGCGGCGCCATGCCTGACAGGGGTGCTCACCAGGCCTGCCAAGGGTGCCACTCCGCCGGTGGGCAAAGCTGGGGTGAAGCCGGCAAGCTTGAAGCGTGATACCATGAACACGTGCAGTGCAATGGATCGGCTCACTCGTACTTTCAGCTTGATTGGTTTGCAGTACCATGCATGTGTTTGTGTGTCGCAGACATGAGCCTTGGCCCCTACGCTTTCATGGCAATCAGTCTTTGGAGCACACAGTCGACACGCGAGCGAAAGCGCCTGAGCACCTTTTGCCACACAAGTAGCTTCCAGAGCTTGACATTCCACTTGGCAATTCGTGGAGGTTCCTGTGAAACAAGGCTATTGCCAGTGCAACTGAGCGATGCCTCGCGCTCTCTCGGAGATGGGATCGATGCGAGTGAATGGTCTGACGGATCTCCATGGCTCTAGAGACGTTCGGATCCAATATGGGAAGTGAACTGCCATGGAGCATCAGACAGCTACGGTGGGTGCTCTAAATATTGCAAGTAGGGATTGCAATATTCTGGGTGAATTATAACGACCTCACCCCAAATGGTGGTTTATGTGGGGTTGGTGAAATATTATAATTCACCCAGAATATTGAGTTGGCATCCACCATAGCGGTAATGAGATGAAGTCGAGTTTGTTGAATGGCTTCCAGCGCTGAGGACTCTCTGGCACTTTTGGGACCGATTCACAGGCGTTTCTTGCGCACCATGCGCAAGCTGCACTACGTGTGTCGTCCCAGAGACGCATCGCTTAGCCCGATTTGGCAAGAAGATACCCGGCTCAAAACGAGGAAGCATTCTTCTGGTCAGCGCCCCAATCCCAATGGCTCTTTGGCGAGAGTCAAAAACAGAGAGGCTATCAGGGTTCCTTTCAGGACCAGTTCCTTTGGGGGTCCCCATTTCCGCTCGTGGAGTTTATGTGTCTGCGTGTTCCAATTTGCCAAGGATTCGGGCCAACAAGCCCGATGAAGCGATGGATGTCTCACTGAGTCAGGGCTCTGACATAGCAACGTCTTTCATGCGCTCCTCGGACGGATTTGGGGCAGACGGCGAGCTCACGCCGAAGACCAAGAAGTCAGCCCTGGAAGCCATGCGAAAGAGTCTCAATCGATCGGAATACACGCCAAGAACGCCGCGAGATCCAGAGCTGGAGGATGAAGAGGACCCAGAAGAGCAACTGCGCAAGCTGCAGAACCGCTTCCTAGATTCTGCCAGATCCGGTGATTTCCGCGGAGTGGCGGAGAGTCTCGCAGAGGGCGTAGATCTACATTGCTGTACTGCAAGAGGTCAGACTGCCTTAATGCTTGCTGCAACTTCGAGAGGGCAGAATGCTCTTCAGATTATCAGCTTCCTGCTTGAGCGGGGCTCTCAAGACACACGGGACGGCATGAGCCATCCCTGTAGACTGAGGTGTCGAATGCAACTCGAGAGCGTGGATCACTTCGGTTGGACGGCCTTGCTCCATGCATCTCGCAACGACATGAAGGAGGCGGGGCGTGGAGATTGAGCCTTCTTTCCCAAAGAAAGTTGACATAAGTGTCCTATTTGCTGAACAGAGCCTCACAATCAAAACCCGGGTAGTTGAAGCTCAGTACTGGGTTGGTCATTTTGATGCCAGGTTTTGATTGTGACTGACATACTTTCCGAGGCCGTTGAACTTCTTTTGCAGAGTCGAGCAGATGTACAATCCAAGTCTATGGATGGCCAGGCAGGGCGCTTGCCGCTAGTGCTGGTGTGCTGGTGTGCTGGTGTGCTGGTGTGCTGGTGTGCTGGTGTGCTGGTGTGCTGGTGTGCTGGTGTGCTGGTGTGCTGGTGTGCTGGTGTGCTGGTGTGCTGGTGTGCTGGTGTGCTGGTGTGCTGGTGTGCTGGTGTGCTGGTGTGCTGCTGGTGTGCTGGTGTGCTGGTGTGCTGGTGTGCTGGTGTGCTGGTGTGCTGGTGTGCTGGTGTGCTGGTGTGCTGGTGTGCTGGTGTGCTGGTGTGCTGGTGTGCTGGTGTGCTGGTGTGCTGGTGTGCTGGTGTGCTGGTGTGCTTTTGCGCTTTTGCGCTTTTGCCGGGATTTGCACTGAAAACACCTTTGACCCCAAACTTGTGTTCTGTTCCAATCAAGGTGTTGCCAATGAAGCACAGTCGTTTCCGTGTCTTCAGGTTTGAGCTTCAATCCGAGCATCCTGTTTCCAAGCATCGTTGTGAGCACTTCACATGGCCAGAACGCCGCGATGCTGGCAGCCACCGAGTCTTGACCTCAGCTTGGACACTGCACTGAATGTGCACAAGGCAAGAACTGACGTTCGCCATTGAGGTCTGGTGATGACCTAGCCACGCACCTTCTAGGCACCTGTTTCAAAGTTTCAGATATTGACTGTGGTGCACACATATGGCCATGGGTCAAAATCCCGTACCCCCAGTGAACATCCCAATCCCCACTAAAATAGACTAAACTGGGTGGTGCACCTACCCCAAAATGGGATACCATTGGTTTTGACCCACAGCCATATTCCGCCTCACGAGCTGACGGGCTGACGGGCAATACAGCAGAGCTCTCTTTCCACTTCGTGAGTTTTTTGTATGCGGAGGCTGCCGAATAGGCTTGGAGCGCAGCGATCGCCGGGGCTTTACTTTGCTGTGTCTTGGCAAAAGAAACGGCTGAACCCGCTGAACCTGCTGAACCCGCTGGCAGCCTGTGGAAACCTATTTCGCTTGCCAGGTTTTATGCCGTGGACCATAGCCGCAGCTGGCTCAGTGTTATTTACACGCTGACGCGACACAGCCGGCCACCGGGCACCTGGCCCTGCCCGTTCTGTCACTTCCCTTTCCGGTAAGTCCGGTGAGTAGATGTTAAGATTTAAAAATTCCAAAAACTTTGAGATTCTATTGGTCTCAGATTTGAAGACTTTTGGAATTTAAGGTTTCAATGGTTTAAGAATTAAGGGTTGAAGATTCAAAGATTTAAGGTTTTTGAAGGTTTTAACAGCCAGGCCATTGCCCAGCCATTTTCCATCCATTATCAGATTTCGAAGGCTTTAAGATTCTATTTGTTTGTGAGATTTTCAGATTTGGCGACTTTCGGAATTTAAGATTTTAAGATCTTAAGATGTCAAGACTTCAACATTTCAAGATTAAGAGTTTAAGGAATTTAGAATATAGCCCGGATTGAAGGAATTTTATTATATTTTACTTGTTCATGAATTTAAGATTTTCAGATTGCACTACTTCGAGATTTAAAGAATTTAAGTTTTTGAAGCTTTTAAGATTCTGAGATTTTAAGAGTTTGAGAATTTAGGAATTTCATATTTTAAGATTTTAACATCTGAATATTCAAAGACATGAGGGTTTCTGTCACTTCCCTGTCCTGTAAGTCCGATGAGTAGATGTTAAGATTTAAAAATTCTAAAACTTTGAGATTCTAAGGGTCTCAGATTTGAAGACTTTCGGAATTTAAGGTTTCAATGGTTTAAGAATTAAGGTTCTAAGATTCGAATATGTAAGGTTTTTGAAGGTTATAACAGCCAGGCCATTGCCCAGCCATTTTCCATCCATTATCAGATTTCGAAGGCTTTAAGATTCTATTTGTTTGTGAGATTTTCAGATTTGGCGACTTTCGGAATTTAAGATTTTAAGATCTTAAGATGTCAAGACTTCAACATTTCAAGATTAAGAGTTTAAGGAATTTAGAATATAGCCCGGATTGAAGGAATTTTATTATATTTTACTTGTTCATGAATTTAAGATTTTCAGATTGCAATAGTTCGAGATTTAAAGAGTTTAAGTGTTTGAAGCTTTTAAGATTCTGAGATTTTAAGATTTTGACAATTTCGGAATTTCATATTTTAAGATTTTAACATCTGAAGATTCAACGACATGAGGGTTTTAAGAAGTCAAGATTCGAAGACTTGAGGATGTTTATATTTTCAGGTTGCAAGATTCTATCTTCTAAGGTTGTAATGTTAAGATCTTAAGGTTTCAAGATTTCGAAAATTCAAGATTAAGAGTTTAAGGACGTTAAAATATAGCCCGGATTGAAGGAATGTAATACTTTAATAATTTAAGATTTTCAGATTTCAAGTGTTCGAGGTTTAAAGAATTTAAGTTTTTAAAGTGTTTTCAGATTCCGAGATTTTAAGATTGTAAGACTTTAGGAATTTCATTTTTTAAGAGTTTAAGATCTCAAGATTCTAAGACATAAGGTTTTTAAGGTTTGAAGATTCGAAGACTTTAGGAAGTTTTTAGATTTCCAGATTTTAAGATTCTAAGTTCTAAGATTTTAATTCTAAGATTGATTGTTAGATTTTAATTTGAGATTTTAAGAATCTAAGACTTTAGGATTTTGAGATTTCAATCCAGGCCATTGGGGACAACATCCCCAGCACCCCCCCCGCATCGCCAGCATGCATAACATCATTCGCATCATCCGGGATGATGCTGGCAGTGCTGGGGGTGTTGTCCAGTATTAGGCACCCCCTAAAAATGCTCGTTTTTGGACTCGTTTTTGGGCGCTCGCTTAAACCAATCCGCGAATCCTTCGCCCCTTATAAGGGCAGGCCCAGCACAAAACGTATGCGCATGGTCCGCGCATGGTCCGCGCATGGTCCGCGCATGGTCCGCGCATGGTCCGCGCATGGTCGGCGGCATGGTCGGCGGCATGGGGCGCGCGGCCTTTTACCTGAAGGCAAGCCCTAACAGGCTTAGGCCTGCGGCCCGATCACGTCCGGTGGCCGGATTTACACGCTGACGCGACACAGCCGGCCACCGCGAACCCCGTCCCGTGCTTTCATCTCCTTTCCCTCTAAGTTCTGCTAGTTCTCGGCTTTACTTCCTTCATTTATTTTGAAGACTCCTATTCGCATTCCTTTCCCTTTTCGTTCCCGCTCCCTTGCATTTTCCTGCAGCTCGGTTTCTCTCCAGTGCCCTCTTCATTTTCGTGAAATTCCTTTGACTTGCATTTCGTTCACTTCCAGTCACTCCTGTTTCCTTGCATATCCCCTTCAGCCCCCCGCATCATACAGGATGATGCTGGCAATGCTGGGGGTGTTGTCCAGTATTAGGCACCCCCCAAAAGCGC